CTTTTCATATCATTCACGGATCACAGCCTTGCCATGGCTAAGGGACTTGGATAACTCAATGAAGCTATGAGCCATGCCATGCAGGGCCACCCAAGATGGACAGGTCACAGTGGAGGGTTCTGACAAAATGTGATCCACTGGAGGAGGGAACGGCAACCCACTCTATATTCTTGCTGGGAGAACCCCATGAACAGTATGTAATGTGTGAATGGTAACCTTAGTTGTAATTTCAAATGGGATTTTTTTTTTAAGAGAACTTGACTAAATGATTCTAAAGATTTCTTACTTAAAATTAATATTGATCATAGTATATCCAACAATATTGTGAAAAACATAATAGTCAATAAGTGTAACAGCTAATAAAATTCTGAAAAAGAAAACTGATGAAGAATAGTTTTCTCTAGTATCAAGGCATTAGTAAGTAAAGCAATGTGATTTTGCTAGGACAGGAACAGACAGAGGATGAGATAAAACAATAAGTTTAGAAGGAGACTCAAGTTAGTGGAGGAATAAAATATATGATAAAGATGACAATATCAAAAGATGGATTCTTTAATGAATAATGTTAAGAAAACTGGTCATTTAGAAATTAAAAAGAACTCACTATATTAACATAAAATCCAAATAAATTAAAGATTTAATGTAAAAGCTAAAGCATTGAATTAAAAGACAAAAACCAAGTGTGGCCAGTATTACACTCTTGTGGTAGAGAAAGCCTTTTACCATCACATACACACACAGACACACAGACACACAGACACACACACATTCTCCCTCATATATACTAAAAAAAAAATTAAGATATTTAAGTATAAAAAATTTTTTTAAAATCCATTACAGCTAAAGAAGCCATGAAAAAAAACAGGAAAAATATAAAACAAATTGGGATAACTATTTGAAACAAATGTTTGAGAACATATCTGAAAATAAAACCAGGTGACAATACATTCTTGTGTTTATGGAAAACAGTTTTCAATCTTTTCACACACATGCAACATATATGGACTGACAATCTGTGTCTCTTCCATAATTTAGTCCATTTATAGAATTGTCACTGGCTGCATGTTTTATAGAAACTAGTAAAGCTATGCTGAAAATTTGTTAGAGTTGGTTAATTCATCTGGCAAATTTTTAAAGTTCAAGGAATATAGTTGTTTTTTAAAAAAGAGTTTGTTGTCTGGTGTATTAAATCAAGTTTTCTATATTGACTATGTTTCCCCTGAACAAAAAAAAACTTTAGATAAAGTTGCATTTCCATGAAAAGTAATGAAAAGTCTGCTAGTATTATGCAGACTCTTCTGACTTCTTTTGTTTCACTGGATCTGAGGAAGAGAAGGCAGGATTTTTAAAGGGGGGATTGTGTTCCCTTCAGATTGTTATTCTAAATCTGACTTGATGGCAGAACCCAAAGTACATCATCTCCCAGAGAAAGCTAGCTGCTTGCCAGACTGCTCTGTTACAATTGAACTGTAAATGGCTCACATCAGCACATTCTGTCAACTTTATATAAACCCCACTTTATGTAATGTGATTATAGATCCCCTGAACACTGCTCTGTACCTGCAGCTTGCAAACTGATTCTCTTGATATTTTCTATCAGCTATGATGACCAGGAACAGCAGCATGGGCTGGTGTTGAGCACATTGACAGAGGTAATAGTACTCTTGCCTGGAAAATCCCACGGTCGGAGGAGCCTGGTGGGCTGCAGTCCATGGGGTCGCGGAGTCAGACACGACTGAGCGACTTCACTTTCACTTTTCACTTTCATACATTGGAGAAGGAAATGGAAACCCACTCCAGTGTCCTTGCCTGGAGAATTCCAGGGACAGCGGAGCCTGGTGGGCTGCTGTCTGTGGGGTCGCACAGAGTCGGACACGACTGAAGTGACTTAGCAGCAGCAGCAGATGCCTGCTTCGTTTCATTTTTTCTAGAAGTCTGTTACCCCATGTTCAAAAGGGAGTAGGTAACTGAGTCCTTTCTTCCATTTACTCCCAAACTTTACTCCTTGATCCCTGTATCTATCACACTCAGAGATGTTTTGGGGCTGGCTTACGTTGACCAAAGGCCATGAGCACTTCATATGAAGAGTGAGTGATCCATGTGGTCAACATGCCTGTCTGCATAATGTGATTTATCCAGGAAAGCTTCACTCTCCATAGCTCTTTGACGATATGATCCACTCTTGTCCCTGACAAGGCTGACTTGATGGTGTGAAGAGCTCTTGGGAGTTTCAGTTCAGATCAAAAAACACTTATTGAGCCACCGTTGTGTGCAGGCTCTGAGTGAGGCATTGGGCCAAGACATATAATGCACGATGCCCCTTTGTGGAGGTAACAGTGGGAAGACAGACAAAAACCCGAGTTTCAATGTAGTATGATTAGTGCTAAGACTGCTGAATACTGCATATAGGAGGGGGTACTTAGTTTAACCTGGAAAGTTAATCCAGGAAAAGTTTCTTGCAGAAATGATGCCTAAGCTGAGTCTTGAAGATTGAAAAGAATTGTATATGTAGGGAGAAAAATTCATACAAAAAGAACAGCCTGAAAAACATCATAAAGATGTGAAACAGCATGGACACATAGGCAGGGAAACTCCCAGAATTCAGAATTCCTGGAAGGAAAATTTTCAGATGTGGGTGGGAGATGAGGATGAAGAAGGAAACAGATGTCAAACTGAGAGGGAACTGGATGCTGTATAATAAAGCCCAACAATAAAGTCTTTATTCTATAGGAAGTGCTGAGTCTTTTATTTCTTGCTTTCTCTCACACCCACCCACATTCAATCCTTCAGCAAATCTTCTTGATCAGATATGCCAAATTTGACTACCATCACCATCCTTGTGCAAGCTACCAAGGGTCACAGCAATAGGTCCATAGTTATAGTGGGAATAAGTCTTCCATTTTGGCTCCTCTAAAGTCTACCCTTTTCACAGAAGTGAGAGTGGTCCTTCTAAAATATAAATCAGATAATGGCATTCCCCAGTAAGTGCTCAAACCTCCCATGGCTCCTTCACATATAGAATAAAATCTATATTCTTACCAAGGCCTGGAAGGCAAGTCTTTACTTGAATTGGCCTGTGCTCTGCTCCCCACTTTGCCTTCAACCTCCTTCCACACTGGGTTCCAACCTCACAGGCTGCCTTGATGTGCTGGAACATGCAAACACCTCTGTGACTCAGGCTTTTGCACTCGTTAATCGCTCTGCCTGGAGTACGCGTGCTAATCGCTGTCCATCTGTCTCATGGCTGACCCTTTCCCCTCACTCCCTTCTGCTGAGAAATGACCCTCCTGACTACTCTTTCTAAAATATCCCCACCTCCATCTCTCTCTCTTTCCCACTACATATGTCACTGTAGAGTTGTCTTCTTATTGCCTGTCTCACTCACTCACTCACTCACTCACACTGTGAGTGAGACTACTGTATTCCCAGTGCAGGAGCATGAACTGATGAATGAACTCAGAACTATTCAAAACTTGGGAGTGAAAGGGTCATTTGTGTATTTTAGACAAGCCACTCTGGCTGCACCATGAAGAATGGAGGTAAGTGGATATATTCGGGGTGAGGAGGGGGGTCGACAGGAATTCGAGAGACCAGTTTGGAAGTTGCTGTGTTAGTCCAGGTGAGCAGTATGAAGGCCTGAAGGAAGGCAGTGCTATTTGGCATGAAGAAAGAGGAGGTAGATTTGAGAAGTGTTTTGTAGATAAAAATTGGCCAAACATGATCAAATTACATCTGGGTCTCTCTTCGGATTCTTGGCTACAAAGGGGATGCTAAAGGATGCTGGAACTGGAAGTGGTCCAGAATGAAAGGGAGCAGGATGATGGTGCCTGAGTGCCTTCGAAGACCAGTGCTTTTCCATTTCAGCATTTCCCTGGATTAAAACTGCTAAGGCATTCATGTGTCCCTTGTGTAGCACATAAGCATTGTCTTGCTGTATATCCCTATGACTACAATGAGCTGGATGTATTTTTGGCACCAGATAGATGTTCAATAATAGTTTTAATGATAGTTTCTACAGCAATTGGGTTTACCCTGGAGGCTGCCCACCTCTCTAATGACTAGGGCCAAGCCAACTTATTTTATAAGATCTGGCAAAATTACAGTGTGAACTGGTAATGCCGTGGGCTGTTATATAAATTATACCAGGTCTGTCTCTGAGGAACTTATCCAAGCCTCTGGAGACTTCAAGAATACTAACTTCAAAGGAAGTACATGTTATAATAAATATTACAAACCAGTTATCTAGCAAAACAAGAAGCAGACCCACAGTGCCTTGCTTGTAGAAGTGTTTGATCTACTTGAAATTTCTGAAAATAAATTTGAGCTGTTGAAATTGACATTTTTCAATTAGAAATTGTGGTAGAGTGTCACGATTTTTTTTTTTTTTTCCAAAATGGTTTGGGAAAGTTCTTTTTAGCTTGGGAGAATTTATTATTTTAGCCAAGGAAAGAATTGTGTGGCCTCAAATCTATAAACTTTTTATCCAAGAGAGATTATGAAATTATTTTGGATGATTGAGACAGAGGTCGTTCCAAAGAAAAGGTTTATCACATGGGTGATTTAAAACACTACTAAAATTGCCTTTCTAAGCAATGACCTAGAAATCTGACAATGTGATAATGAATTCTCAAACAAATAAAACAAACAAACACAAAAATCACACTGGAACATTTCACAATTGGCAGGACAAAAACTGGCAACAGCTGACTTCTGGAAAAGTGAATTGAATCTTATAGCATTAAAATGAGTTTGCGGACTATAACATGAAGTCAACACTTCTGTGAGAATTTTGGAATGCTCAATTTCCCACAATCTCATCATTTTTCTGCCTGACAATTGTAATTATTCTTCACCAACTTGATAGTCAAAGCTGCTTCCTGTAGTGATAATATACCTGCTACCATCCTGACCATATTGGAGAAATGACTTTTTCTTTGATAGGTTTGTTCATTTTATACCTAACTTTCTATGTTATTCTAACCACTCTCTTACATTATTCATTAACTAATTGCCATCCATATCCCTTTTTTTGCTTTTTTAAAATATCTTTTTCTCCATGACTGAACATACAAAGATAATGGAAGTAAAATATTCTTCTGCTGTAAAGATGGGTGGAATAGATCAAAATCTACTTGTCGGATTTTCTTTAAATAGTCCTCCAGAGCAACCGTCTGCGCAAAAGCAGGAAATGCTTTCACAGGAACACTTTCGTGGAAGGACCTAGCATGCTTTAGGTGCAAGTGTGCCTGGCTGGCAATATCATACACCACATCTCTCACATTTTCATTTTGGCTCTTTTGTAGAAAATCCTCTTGTGAAACACCATGCAGCATACAAATACCCATGGGAAGGAACAGCTTTCTTCTGTTACCATGACAGGGTGTTGCTCTCAAGCAAGTGACAATGCCTTGTGTTTTTCCAATGTGATTTGTGGCATGATCTGTATGAAGATCCTTTATACCCAATATTTCTAGTGTTAGATAAAGAAGAGAGCTCTGAGTGTTTTTAGCATAATTTCGTAGTTCCTGGATGTTATGATATACTTTGTCATCCAAATTCTTTTCTCTTTCATCAGAGGTTTTCACAAGCCATCTTTCAGTCAGATTATGTTTTCTGACAGCCTTACATAGTTCAGTGGCCACACGCTGATGTGGTGGACTGTCACAGTATAAATCATTCACAGTTTTTTTTTTTTTCTCCCCCCAAACTGCATTTGCATCAGTCCAATTGTTTTCTCAGAGACAGAGTCCTTAACTAGCCTGAGCCAATTCCACATTGAAGGCTCTCAGTGCAAAAGCAGAGCTTCTGGATTCGGCAGGGAGAAGCAGGGAGTATAAACAGCCTTCATAATCTTGTTTCCGCAGTGACTCCAAGCAGCAGTGGCCAGTGCCTGAGGTGTCAGGCCCGCTGGCCATGGCCACACTCTGCCTGGAGAGNGAGGACAGAAGAAGAGGGCATCAGGGGATGAGATGGCTGGATGGCATCACTGATGCAATGGACATGAACTTGGGCAAACTCTGGGAGATGACGGGGGACAGGGAGGCCTGGTGTGCTGTAGCCCATGGGGTGGCAAAGAGTCGGACACAACTGGATGACTAAACAACAGCAAAGTCTAAGGCGGGGGCTTCCCTGGTGGCTCAGTGGTAAAGAGCCTGCCTGCCAAGGCAAAAGTCACAGGTTTGATCCCTGGGTTGGGAAGATTCCTTGAAGAAGGAAATGGCAACTCACTCTAGTATTCTTGCCTGGGAAAGCCCATGGACAAAGGAGCCTTGCGGTCTACCATGGAGTTGCAAGAGATTCGGATATGACTTAGCCACCAAACAATAACAAAGTCTAAGATATCATGGAGAAAATTACTTAACTGAGCTCCTATCTAATTAAGCATTTCAGACATTATTGCACCTCCATTCCCGCACAGAAGAAACCATATTCCATAAAGTAACGGCTGATTACCAGAATATACTATATTCAAGAAAGAGAAAAACGTAAATCTTAGAACAAGCACATCTAGCAACTTTTATAATACATTTAAAAAGACTCCAACATGTAAATCCATGGCTAATTCATATCAATGTATAACAAAAACTACTGTAATGATGTAAAGTAATTAGCCTCCAACTAATAAAAATTTAAAAAAAAAAAAAAAAGACTCCATAGCCAAAGTAATATTATTCCTCCACCCCTTCCTCCTGTTTTAAAACTAGGAGAAACTGGCACCAGCTTCCCAGGGGGGAAAAATATCCTCCAGACCTTTCACATTAAAAGAAAAAAACCTGAAACAATTCACACACATAAAATCTTCTGAAGTATACAATTTCACAGTTGTAGTAAATTCCAAAGTTGTGCAATATTACCAATATCTAATTCCAGAATGTTCTCATCACCTCAGAAAGAATCCTGTATGTATGAAACTGTCACTTCCCATTTTCCCCTCTCCTGATCGCCACAAAACACTAATCCACTTTCTGTCTCCATGGATTTGTCTGTTGCAAACATTTTATAAAAGTACAGTGATACGATATGTGGCATTTTGTATCTGGCTTCTTTCAATTAGCATATTTTCAAGGTTCGTCCATGTTGGCACATCTGTTAGTATCTCATTCCTTTTAAGTGAAGAAAACATAGATAATATTCTATCATATGTTTATTCACTCATTCATAGACTCTGAGTCGTTCCCACTTTTGGACTATTATGAATAATGCTGCTATGAACATTTGTGTACAAGTTTTGCGAGGACACATGTTTTCATTTCTCTTATCAACCTAGGAATGAAATTGCCAGGTCTATGATAACTCTATGTTTAACTTTCTGAAGAATCTGCCAAACAGTTTTTCCAAACAGCTGCACCATTTCACATTTCCATCAGCACTGTACGAAGGGTCCCAGTATCTCCATATCCTCACCAACACTTAACTATTTTCATTCTTTTTATTAGAGCCATCCCAATGGGTATGAAGTAGTATCTCACTGTGGTTTGCTTTTTAAAATTTCTGTTTATTTGTGCGTGTTTGTGCTGGCTTTTCTCTAGTTGCGGGGAGTGGGGGCTGCTCGCCAGTTGCAGCGTGCGGGCTTCTCCCTGCGGTGGCTTCCCTTGTTGTGGACCCCCGGCTCTAGGGCGCATGGGCTTCCGCAGTGACAACACGTGGGCCTGGTGGCTGCAAGCTGTGGGCTCGAGCACAGGCTCAGCAGTCGTGGCGCAGAGGCTCGCTGCTCCGCCGGAGGAGGGCTCTTCCCAGACCAGGGATCCAACCTGTGTCTCCTGCGCTGGCAGGCAGATCCTTCACCCCTGAGCCATCAGGGAAGGCCCTTCACTGTTGCTTTGATTCTCATCTCCCGAGTGAAAAGATGTTGAGCATCTTCTCAGGTGTTTACTACTTAGTTATGTATCTTTTTAAAAGAAAGGTTTATCCAAATCTTCTGCTTGTCTAAACTGGATTATTTTTAATTGTTGAATTATGTGTTCTTTATATATTCTAGACACTAGTCCTTTATCATATATGTAACTGTTAAGTATTTTCTCCCATTCTGTGGATTGTCTTTTTGTTTTCCTGAACCTTTTTAATTTTGATGAAGTCCAATTATCTACTTTTTAATTTTATTGCCTGTGCTTTTGGTATCATATCTAAGAAATCACTGCCCAACATAAACTTAAAAAGATTTATGCCTATGTTTCCTCCTAACAGTTTTACAGTTTTAACACTTACATTTATATCCATTTTGAGTTAGTTTCTGTATATGGAATGAGGTAGGAGACCAAAATCATTCTTTTGCATGTGGATATCTAACTGTCCCAGCACTGTTTGCTGAAAAGGATGTTCTTTCCCCAACTAAATTATCTTCACACCCTTGTCAAAAATCAGTTGACTATCAACATACAGGTTTACTTCTGAACTCTCAATTCTATTCCGTGCCAATATATATGAGCTACATGATCAATATATATTAATCAATATGTCTATGGAAGGCCAATACTACACAGTTTGATTACTGTAATTTTGTGATCAAGTCTCAAAACTGGGAAATGAGAGTCCTTCAACTTCATTCTTCTTTTCTAAGATTCTTTTGATGACTTTGGGTCCCTTGCATTTCCATATGAATTTTAGGATCAACTTGTCAATTTCTGCCAAAAAAAAAAAAGCAACTGGAATTTTTACAGGGATTGCATTCAATCTATAGATCAATGCATAAATACTGATCCAATCTTTTACTTTTATATATCCCTCTATGCAAATGCCAAATGTCATTTTCCATTAAACAATGGAAAAATTGTTTTGTTTTTTCATAAAAAAAGAGAGATTTTCCATTATCTGTCTTGAGTTCTCATATTTTCTTACATCATGAAAACAGAAGACATCTGAAAAATAGACTTTCTTCATACTAATTAATTCTGTAAGCCAACTGAGAATTTTAAAATGTAAAAGTCATTATCTCATTTTGGCTTATATTATTACTACTGTAGCCTATGGTTATTAACTGATTATATCCAAATAAACTAAATAAACTTACATTTTCATGACAACAGTGTATGACAAATATTAGGTCAAGGACACTCAGCCAACAATGTGTCAGAAAGAAGACACAGATCAGTCCCAGTCATCAAGCATTCTGCAAGCCTGGTTGGAACTAGAACTTAGTTCTAAGTGTAAGATTCTATTTGCTAGAACCATCAGACTTTCTTTATTCACTCTATTTGGACAGCGCTTCAAGCATTGGATGTATATAATGATATATGTACAACTATTCTCATTTTGATGATATTAAGGAATTATCCATACTTTTTAAGGTCTGATTATCACATTATAGTTATATTGTATACAAGTTTTTTCTTTTCAATTTTTATTTTACATTGGAGTTGATTTATAATGTTGTGTTAGTTTCAGGTACACAGCAAAGTGATTCAGTCATACATATACTTACATCTATTCTTCAGATTTTTTTCCCATTCAGGTTATTACAGAACACCGAGTTTCCTGTGCTATACAATAGGTTCTTGTAGATTATCTGCTTTATACAAGTTTTTATCTTTTCAAGTTACATGTATATTTACAGATCAAATGATAACATGTCTTGGGTTTACTTTAAAATAATCTAACAGGGTTTAGTGAGGGAAGTTGGTAGAAAATAAATAACATTGGACACAGGTTTATAACTATTAAAGCTGGGTGACAGATACGTGAAAGTATATTACACTATTCTCTCTACTTTTATATAAGTCTGAAATTTTTCTATTATTTAAAAAACACCAAAATAGTAGAGTATGATATGCCCATGCATGCCTCCGCCTGGATGCCCGTTTGCCTGTCTGTCTCCAGGTACCAGGATAGGAGCCTGAGGTAGGTGGCATGCAGTGACGGAGAACAGATGAAATGGTACAGTTCTCTAAAAGTCTCCTTCCTCCAAAATAATATACATATTAAAACATTTCTTCCCTGAAGAAGTAGCCTAAGGGTTAAAGGAGGAGAAAAAACAAGACATGAGCAACTGCAACTTACTCTTTCATCAATGATTTTCATAAGCCATCTTTTAGTCAGATTATGTCTTCTGACAGCCTAAAAAAAAAAAGTTTCAGATTATGTCTTCTGACAGCCTAAAAAAAAAAAGTTTTAAGTTTTTAGAAAGTACCACAAATGACTTCTGTAGACCTGAATAACATAAACAAACCAAATACAAAACCAGGCCAGGGGACATTTCTAATAACTCATCACCAGACAGCTATGTTAAAAACCTAGGGAAAAAGAAAATGTCTCTAGAAAACATTTCAAAACATTTTCAAGTAAAGATAATATATCCAAAACCTTTTCACTAATCTTTTCCTTATACTATTAGTAATCAGTGAATCCACTTTCAAAACAAACAAAAAAAACAAGAATTAAGCAGAACAAGCTTCTCTACGTGATATGCCTCAACTTCTATGCTTATTACAATTTTTCCCCCATAAAATGAAGACCCTATTTAATGAAAATAACCACTTTATAAAAAAGAAAAGGGTAACAAAGCTCCAAAGAAACAATCTGCAGGGTACAATGTTATCTTACAAGTAAAGACACTCCATTAAGAAAGAGCACACTTAGTGCTCTTAATACCATTTCCATCAAAGGAAACAGACTCTAAAAAAGGGGATTCCAGAGCTGGAACAAGGGAGATTCAAGAGGATCCTAAACCATTTTATTGTGCCAGAAAATAGAAAGTGCAAAAAAAAAAAAAGATAGGAGGCATGTTAGGACACAGGAGCCAGTTTGAAGGGACTCTCGTTGTCTAAATATGGGACTATTTGAATACCAAATAATTAAGTACAGTAATGAGGTATAATCTGCCTGCCAATGTAGGAGACATAACAGACGTGGGTTCATTCCCTGGGTTGGGAAGATCCCCTGGAAGAGGAAATGGCAACCCACTCCAGTATTCTTGCCTGGGAAATTCTACAGACAGAGGAACTTGGTGGGCCACAGTCCATAGGGTCTCAATGAGTTGGACACAACTAAGCGAATGAGCATGCATGCAAGCAATGAGTTATAAAGTACTGAATAAAAAAAAAGAAACTCAGGAGTTTATACCAATAATTAATAAACAAATAAATAACGTAGGAGAGTGAGAGCACTTGCTTACAGTAGCGTGCCAAGTGGTAAATGTGAACAAAGCATTAGAGTTGGGACATTATCATTCTGTAATCATAATAGTAAAGACTGGATAAGAACCATCAGTACATGTTATGTTTCACAGGAAACTGATGAGGAGCAGGATATTTGCATTGTCTTAAAGTTGATTAGTTGCAAGGGAAATTCTAATTATACAGTAGTTACACATTGGGAAAACCGGGCAACATCTTGAATGCTAATGAAAATGAACAATGCCAATAAAGGACAGATGGACAGAACGTGTCTCCAGATGTGACACTCCGAGAATACATCACTGATGCAGTATTCTGGCCAAGAGCGCACAACCAGAACCATCTAAGCAGGAGAAAAATTAGACAAATGCAAAATGAGCAATGTTCTACTACAAAAACAAAAAGAGGTCATACACTTCAAAAATGTCAATGTCACAGAAGAAAAGCTATGGAAACGTTCCAGCTTAAAGTAAGCTAAAGAGATATGACTAAAAATACCTGACTGGATCCTACACTGGAGGGGAAAAATACATTAATTTATATTATTAGGTCAACTGACAAAATTGGAATATGAATGGAAAATCAGATGAAAGTTATTTCAAAGTTAAATTTACTAAAGTCAATAACTATTCTGGTTAAATAAGACAATGTCTCTATTCTTAGGAAATACTAAAGTATTGAGGGATAAAGAGACATAATGTAAGCAACTTATACTCAAATAATTTAAAAAAATTATGAGTGTGAAAATATATAGAGATCATGCCAGCACACACTCGTGAGTGAGCACATACAAATAATTAACAAATAGGATAAAATGTTAACAACAGGTAAATCTGGGTAAATGACCCAGAAGTGTTCTTATAATATTTTTAATTTTGTAACCTTTCTGAAATTTTGAAGTTATTTCCAAATAAGTTTTTAAACACTGCTTTTTTGCCAAGTCAACACCAAGTATAATACATCTTCACGAGAAATATAGTAGTGAAACATAAAGTCTCCGGGATATCCTACACTTCAACTGAGACTCTAAGATGTCACTGATATTAATGTAAAGGCTGGCAGGCCCACCAATACACATCCATGCGGCAAAGGATGGAAGTGGGCAGAATGGAGCCCACTGTGCCCGACAGGCACGCAGCAGCAGCTGTGAGGGCTGCACAGAGTTGCTCTGGAAGTGCTCTCAGCATTGCTACTGTTACCCAGCAGCACCCCCACAGGCCTCTCTCCCCAGTTCCAAGAGCCAGCCTGGGATACCTCAGTCACCTCAGTCTTGCTCTCCTTTTGTTCTGTACATGTCTGAGCAGGGCAGGGCTTGTTTGATCTTTGTAACCACACCATCAAGCACCATTCCTGGCACATGGAAGTACTCAGTAGATACTAAACCACTGAAAAGTCAAGACTCCTATTTACTCGACTGATGTAATAGTCGAGTAAGGAACTGCAGTTCCTTGACCACAAAACAGAGTTCTGTCTGATTCTGAAGGAAATCAGAGATCCAGATAAAAAAAACACATACTTATAAGAAGCTAAAAACCTGTTGAATAAAGGTATCAAAACTTTGGAAATAGGAGCCAGATGGAATAAAAATCGTGGCTATAATTATTAGAAATTATAGGAATTCATCTCTTCTGTGCTCTAAAAGCAGCAATGAAACAGTGCAGCAGGAATGGACCTTCTGTTCCCCAATTTAACCTTCTACAGAACCCGAAACTCTTCAAGCAATCGATGGAAAGTTTGACGTGACAGCGGCGCAACAAGCATGTGCTCCAGTAGAACGCGGAGAAGCAAAAAACACGCCATCAGGACAACCGCTCTGAACACTACCTGCTTCTTTCAAATGTTCACGTTCATCTGCAATACCTGTCATATCAGAGAGCTGGCCAACATTAATCACCAAAATATAAGCAGCTTTTAAAACTGGACAAACTGGCATACATGTAAAACATTCTGTAATTCAGATATGTCTTCTGGCATTTAAGTGAGGCCAAGACAAGATAAATTTATGTTAAATAAATCTCTGGTCTTTCAACTTATTTCCTGACAAAGGCCAGAATTTTCAATACAAGTCTTAGCATAAACTTCTAACCCAATCAGGTTTGCATATAAAATAAGCAGTTTCTGGACTTTGGAGAAACTTTCCTCTAAACTGAGTCAGCCAGGATGAGGTTCTTGAAGTGGGATGAATAAAGGGAAACAACTAATCGGATACTCAAGAGCTTCCCATCCACTTTTCCTCCCTGGTGGAGGGGCCTGGCTCTCCAATCACTGAGGTTCTGTGAAGTCAATCTGGGGCCCAGAAACAGGGCCTGCCTCTGCTGGGGCACAGACCTGAGAACGGGTGTACCAGTCAGGTCTGTCAGAGGCTCCAGGGACAGACGCTGTCTTCTGGCACTCACAATACGACAATGCGGACACAGATCAATGACAGAAGGAGCCTAAACCCCGTCCTCTGCTCCTAGTTCAACGTATTTCTAAACTGCATTAAGGCTAGTTGTGAATGAGGAATCCATACACCTTTAACGTAAAACTAACTACTAAATACATCTCAGTGTACAGATAACAACCTCGCCCATAGGCTTCCATTCTCAGATACCTAAACTTCATCAACAAAGAGGCAATTCTATGAAACCAGACAAGGCAGCTTTAGGAATGATAAGAGCACAAAAGATCAATGCATCATCATTTTCTACAGTCCAGAGTATGAACTAAAGCACTGGAATAAGGAGCTACTTGGCAGACAGAATAGAAAATTTACCTGTCATTGTTTCAAAATTTGTAGGATTTAAATTCTGCAACCAAACATGTAGAAAATAATTTATAACATAAACAGACCAAATTCCTCTTTCTTCTTTTAATAAACACACTAAAGATGTGTGCAAATTATTTGTTAATGATTTTAAATTCTGTCAAAACTAACTTATATCTGAACGTTACATGAGCCCAAGAATATTTTCAGGACAGATTGCCCATTGCCACTATCCAACTTGTATGTAACAAAAAGTATGCTTAAATAACATTCATACAAATGAAAAGTAGCTGTTTTTGTTTTACCTTCCATAGTTCAATGGCCACAGGCTGATGTGGTGGATTGTCACCGTATATATCATCCACAGTTTTCTTCCAAAACTGCATTCGCATCAGTCCAATTGTTTTCTCAGAGACAGAGTCCTTAATCTATAAACAGGGTTTAAAAACATTAACTGCACTACTCAGAGTCTCAGAAATCACTATTTATAACTGCAAAATCATATAATTCAGTCTTCTCTGCATTTAATTTTTCCTTGAAGTTATATATCAGTTAAATTGTCACCATTATGAGTTACCTAAGTAAAAGCTACAGATTACTTGGTGATTATTCAAAAATATTCTCAAGGTCTGCATTCAAAAATACGAGCAATTCTTCTAAAAAAGTTATAAGGAAAAACAAAGGAGGGGGGACATTTTGTTTAAAAGAAATTTAAGAAATATCAACCAGTCACATATAGACCTATTTGAATCCGGATTTAAAGAGAGACACAACTAGGAAAATCTGAACACCAAATGTTTAAATTTTTAATGTATAATAATAGTAGTGTTATTTTTTTTAAGTTAATTCTTTTAGAGATGCAAATTGAAATATCTGCAGATGGAAAAATTCATCTGAAACTTAACTTCAAAATAAAATGGAGGTAGGGATGATGTGGCTGAGGAATAAAGATGAAAAACAAGATTGGCCATGAGTAAGTAACAGCTGCAGGTGGGTGATGGGGTACACGAGGGTTCATTATACTTCTCTCTCTGTATATGGATATACTTCATTCTAGACATGATTGAAATTTTCCAATGAAGTTTTAAAAAATAAATGGAAGCGAAGAAAAACAATCTTCACTTGGTTAGTGATAGCACAAATATTTTTTAAGTATGAAGATAAACCTAGGAAATAGAACCAGAAGCTTTTTAGCGGAAGCAGAGAAGGAAATATTATTTATCAAACGTCTACAAGTTCCAGGCCCTGTGCAAGTACTGTACCAGATGTTACCTGATCACAATCATCAGAACAAGCTCACAGGGTCCTTACCAACACATTCATTCTACAAGTACAGAAACTGTGGCTCAAAAAGGTAGAAGCTTATCTCAGGTACATGGAGAAGACTGTGGCGAGGGTAGGGGCTGACTCCAAAGGGACACATCTGGGGATCTTTCAGGTTGATGGAATTGTTCTGTATCACAACTCTGCTGGTACATAGATGACTTTAAGCAGTTTTCAAAACCTATAGGTCTATACACCACAAAAAGCAAATTTTACTGTGGTACATTTTTAAAAACTCATTTGTTTATTCACTAAGTAACTCTAAAAGAAGACTGTTAGATTCTTTCCCTAACTTACTACTGATTAAGAATGGCCTTATTAAGTTCTGGCAAGAATCATCAATGCATGCTAAATCTAGGAGGAAAATTTTTTATTTCTAACTGAGCTATAATTGACACACAACAGTTTCATAGTTTTAAGTATACAATATGATCTGATATGAGAGTGGTGGGCTACAGTCCATGGGGTCGCAAAGAGTCGGACATGACTGAGCGACTAAACCTACCTACCTACCTATATATTGTGAAAGATCACCATAGGTGTCATTAATATCTACTATCACCACACAAAATTAGAAATCTGTGGATGTCGAGACCTTTTTAGCTCTGCTNTAAACCTACCTACCTACCTATATATTGTGAAAGATCACCATAGGTGTCATTAATATCTACTATCACCACACAAAATTAGAAATCTGTGGATGTCGAGACCTTATTAGCAACTTTCAAATGCACAGTAACAGTACTAGCTGTGCATTTCATGCTCATGCCTTATTTACTTACTATGGCAAGTTTCTACCTTTTAACCACCATCACTCACTTCACCCATCTCCTACCCCTGCCTCTGGAGACCACCAATCTGTTCTCTTTACCTATGAGCTTGGGAATTGTTTGTTTTGCTTTTGCTTTAGATTCTACATGTAAGTGAGATCATATGGTATTTGTCTTTGTCAAACTCATTTCACGTAGCATGAAGCCCTCAAGGCCTGCCTGTGTTGTTACAAATGCCAAGATTTCCTTCTTCTTTATGGTAAGTAATAACTCATTGGGGAGATATACCTCTTCTTTTTTAAAAAATATATTATTTATATTTTCGGCTGCAGCGGGTCTCTGCTGCTTCCCCCGGGCGTGCCCGAGCTGCGTGAGCCAGGCTGACTCTGGTGCGGTGCACAGGCTTCTCACTGCGGTGGCTTCCGTGGCGGAGCGCAGGCTCCAGGGTGCACGGGTTTCAGTGGACGCAGCAAGTGGCCTCGGGCGGCAGTGGGCAGGCTCTAGGGCGCTCAGGCTTCAGGAGCTGCAGCTCGTGGGCTCAACAGCCGTGGTGCACAGGCTTCAGTTGCCTATGGCGTGTGGAATCTGCCTGGGCCAGGGGAACCTGTGTCCCCGGCAGCAGATTCTTATCCACTGTACACCAGGGAGGTCCCGACAGACCACACCTTTATCCAGTCATCCACCAATGGACACTTAGGCAGCTTCCATGTCTTGGCTATTGTAAATAATGCTGTGATAACAAGGAGGTGCAACTATTTTTCCAAGTTAGTGTTTTCATTTCCTTTGGCTAAATACCCAGAAATGACTAGATTTTGTGGTAGTTCTAATCTTTTGAGGAATCTCATACCATCGTCCACAGCGTCTGCAGCAACTTACATTCCCACCAGCAGTGCACGAGGGTTCCCCTTCCTCCACATCCTCAACATTTGTTATTTCCTGTCTTTTTGATGACAGCTATTCTAATAGGTGTGAGGTGACACCTCATTGTGGTTCTGATTTGCACTTCTCTCAAAGTGATGCTGAGCACATTTTCATGTACCTATTTGCCGTATATGAGGTAACTTTTGATGAGGACCACAGTCTTAAAANTTCCTCCACATCCTCAACATTTGTTATTTCCTGTCTTTTTGATGACAGCTATTCTAATAGGTGTGAGGTGACACCTCATTGTGGTTCTGATTTGCACTTCTCTCAAAGTGATGCTGAGCACATTTTCATGTACCTATTTGCCGTATATGAGGTAACTTTTGATGAGGACCACAGTCTTAAAATGTCTCCTCACATTCAACAGGAAAAAAATATTAACATCTTGACCAGTGACCAAAACTGGTATCACCAGTAAGAAGCATACAAGCGTGTCATGCCTCGTTGTGATTCCCTGAGAAGGACATACACCATTAAGACAGTTAAGTATGACTAGAAATGTTTAATTGTGACAAAAAATAAACTCCAAATGAGAAATAGTCAAAATTTTAAAAGGAACAATATGGTTTTTTAAATGTCAATGTTTAATAGAAGACAAAGAAAAGCTGTGGAAATGCTCCAGATAAAAGGAGGCAAAGGAGATATGAAAGCTAAATGTAATATACCATCTTAGTTTGGATCCTGTACAAAAGGGTTTAAAGATGCCATAAAAACATCATTCAGTCATTTGACAGAACTGGAAACCAGAAGGTAGATTAAATAAAACTAGTGTATCTGTCTCAAATTTACTCAAACTGGTAACTGTTATGAAAGAGAATATTCTTGTGCTAATGAAATACAGCTCAAGTTTATGAGTAAAGGGCCATGGTTTAGTAAGTTACAGTAAAATGACTCATAAAAAGAAAAACAGTGCACGAATGTGTGTGCATGTATATGTGTGTGTATACAGAGAGAGAGAAAAAGAGAGGGAGAGACGAAGGAAGAGAGAGAAGGGGAACAACTTGATAAATCAAATGGGGCCAAATATTAACAAAAGGGCGTACTGGTATTCCTTGTACTATTCTTACTCTTGTGCATATGAAAGTATTTCCAAATAAAAAAAATTTTTTTAATGGTCTTAGTGCTGGGTGGGTCTCTTTCAGTGTTCAGATCCCATGGCATATGATCTATTCTAAATACAGCATCAAGAGTAATCCTTTAAAGATGTGGGCACATATATACAGTGGAATGTTACTCAGCCATAAAAAAGAACGAAATAATGACATATGCAGCAGCATGGATAAACCTAGAGATTATCAGATTAAATGAAGTAAGTCAGAAAAACAAAGAAAATACCATGTGATACCACTTATTTGTGGAATCTAAAATATGATACAAATAAACTTATCTACAAAACTGAAATAGACGCACATAGAGAAGAGACCTGTGGTCGCCAAGGGGGAAGGACAGATTGGGAATTTGGGACTAGCAGATGCAAACTATCATATATAGGATGGATAGACAACAAGGTCCTCTCATCCAGCACAGGGAACCATACTCAATACCCTATAAAAAACATAATTGAAAAGAAAAAATAAGTTAAAAAAACTTTTTTAAAAGACTAATCATTTCAGGAGGACACTGAGCTCACTTTTCCCCCAATGAACACATCAAAAATACATCTACATTGCTGAAAACAACCTGGAAACTGGTGGGGAAAAAAAAAAAAGAGGCTCTTCTGCAACCAAGGCTATAAAGAAAAATGCACATGGAGTTGGGCAGGGAGGGAGGAAAACCGATGAGGCTGGGACCTGCGTCCTTAGCAGGGGACACAGAAGAGGAGAAGGAATATCACACACAGGCTCAGGGATCCACCCTGGGAAGACAATTACCCTTAGTTGGTGTGAAAACCAGTGGGACTTACTGGAGGGCTGTAAGAAACCAAGACTCTGCACAAGCTTATTTACTCCCAGGATTTGCATCAAGGCTGCAGACAGAAAAGTGCCTGAGCTCTGACCAGCTGCCTGCTCCAGCCCCTTATCCAGCACTGCCCTCCACTAAGGCAAAGGCTATCACTGAGAGAAAAGGAAGCCAGCCTGGACCCGAGCCAGCACGCACACCATGCTGCAGGCTGAAAACTGCCCGGGCTCTGTTTGGCTTCCAGGACTGTTCCAGCATGCACCCCAGCCCACCCATCTGCCTGCTCCAGGCCCTCCGGCTCTCCACTAGGAGAGCAGTACACACACTTAGAGGGAGGGGAGCCAGCTCAGACCAATCCTTAGAGCTTGTGTCTAGGACCCGGAGCTCTGATCGCACCCATGACCGCCAAAGGAGCAGCCCAGGATAAGCCCCAGCTCACAACTGGCTTGGCTAAGCCCCTTCATCTTTAGCCCTACCTCCCACCACAGTGGTAGCTGCCAGCATACCCCAAGAGAAGATGTGACCTACACTCACTTCAGATCCAGCTCTCCCACCAAAATAACTGGGCACACACAGACTGCATAGGGACAGCCCCACAAAAGGATACCCCTTCAAGATTGGGACAGGTAACCATTTCACCTAATTTCATGCAGACAAAGTTATACAAAATGAAAAGACAAAGGAATATGTTTCAAGTGAAAGAATAAGGGAAAAAAACTGAGAAAAACCCCTGGTGATACACAGATAAATAATTTACCCCATACAGTTTCACAGTAATAGTAAAAAGAATGCTAACTAAGTTTGCAAAGAGTCCATAAACACACTAAGAATTTAAACAAGGAACCAGAAACTATTAAAAAGAACCAGTCAGAGCTGAAGAATACCATTAATGAAAAGTGCACTAGAAGGCATGAATAGCAGACTAGCTGATAGATAAGAATACATAAGTGACCTGGGGGAAAAAATGGAAATTACCCATCATAATAGCAAAAAGAAAAACAAATTTTTAAAAATGAGCATAATTTAAGGGACCTCTGAGACAACATCAAGTGTATTAGAATTCAGTTTATAAGGATCCCAGAAGAGGGTGAGAAAACAGTAGAAAATGCATTTGATAAAATTATGGCTGAAAACTTCTTGAAGTTGAAGAAGGAAACAGATTTCTACAGGAAGCACAAAGAATCCCAAACAAGATGAACCCAGTGAGACCCACACCAAAACACATCGTAATTAAAATGGCAAAAGTTAAAGAGAAATTACAGGCAGCAAGAGAAAAACAGAGTCAAACACAAGGGAATCCCTGTAAGGCTATCTATCAGCTGATATTTTCTGCAGAAACTATGAAAGCCAGAAGGGAGTGGCATGATATATTTAAACAGCTGAAAGGAAAAAACCTACAACTTAGGATACTCTACCCAGAAATGTTATCTTTCAAAATGAAGGACATAAAGAACTTCTCAGACAAGCAAAAACTAAGTTTACCAGTCTAAAGCAACCTTACAAGAAGTATTAAAGGGTCTTTTTCAAGTGGAAAACAAGATTGTAAGAGGCAAGAATTCATAGAGGGAAAAAAATCCCACTAGTAAAGAAAAATCTTACAGTAAAGGCTGTGGATCAATCATTTTAAATGAGCTAATATGAAGATTAAAAAAAAATTATAAAAGCAACCATAACTACAATAAACAATAAAGAGACAGCCATGAAGATGAAAAGTGTGACAACAAAAACATAAAAATATGAGGGATGGAAGTAAATATGTAGATCTTTTAGAATGTGTTTGAACTTAAAAGACTATCAGTTTAAGTCAAGTAGATATAATCACTGGTCAACATACACAACCCCATGGTAACCACAAATCAAAAACCTACAACAGATACACAAAAACCAATAAGAAAGCAACCCAAGCACAGTACAAAAGATCATATGACTACAATGGAAGAAATAAATGAAGAAGAAATGAACAGAGAAGAATTGCAAAAACAACTGGCAAACAAGTAATAAAATGGAAGTAAGTCCAGTAAGTACACACCTATCAATAATTACATTTGCACTACCTACTGAATGGGAGAAAACATTTGCAAATAATAATCCTTTGAGGGGTTAATATCCAAAATTCAAAAGCAGTTCATACAACTCAATATCAAAGAACAAACAAAAGACCTAAATAGACACTTTACCAAAGAAGAGATACAGACGGCCAAGAGGTCCATGAAAAGGTGCTGAAACATCCCTAAGCACCAGGGAGATATCACCTCACATCTGTTAGAATGGTTATCATCAAAAAGACCACAAATTAAGAAATATTGGCATGAATGTGGAGATAAGACAGTCCCAGTGCACTGATGGTGCGACCACTGAGCCGGGTGTCACTAGCTGTCATACAAAATCCACTTTTTATCTCAGGTCACAATAAAACCAAGAAACGGTCTGTTGTACAAAATAAGAGGAAACTTCAAAAAGACAATTTTTGGATTTGAAGTCAGCTCATGTGGCACCCACTTATTAAACATTTTCACCTTTCCAGTTTGCTTCAAATGCCAAACAACCATAGAACAGTTGATGTTGAATTCTTCAGCAATTTCTCCTATAGTTTTAAAAGGATCAGCTTTGATGATCCTCTCAGTTGGCAGTTGGCAACTTCTGTTGGCTGAAGAAGTTGACACCGTGCTCCTCATCTTCAAGGTTCCTGTCTCCTCTACAAAGCTTCTTGAACCACCACTACACTGTATGTTATCAGTTCGGGGCAAATGCATTGCTGATGTTGCAAATTGTCTCCGCTGCTTTACAACCCATTTTGAACTCGAATAAGAAAACTACTCAAATTTGCTTTTTGTCTAACATCATTTCCCTAGTCTGAAATAAATATAAATAGCAAGTAATAATTAGCACAAAAAAAAGTGATAAATGTGCATTAAAATGATGTATAACATACCACACTTAAGAATGTATTCTAGTATCAAAGAACAAAGTTCAACAATGCAAAACTGCAATTACTTCTGCACCAATATAATAAATCCAAATAAATCAAAACCACTAATTTGAAAAGATATATGCACCCCAGTGTTCATAGCAGCATCATTTACAATAGTCAAGATGTGGAAACAACCTAAGTGATGATCAACAGATAAATGGACAGAGAAGATACAGTTTACATACATACACACACACACACACACACACATGATGAAATATTACTCAGCCATAAAAAAAGAATAAAATTTTGCCATTTGCAACAAGAAAGGCCCATAGAATATGATGCTTAGTGAAATAATTAGAGAAAGGCAAATACTGTATGTTATCACTTACATGTAGAATCTAAAAGTTAACACAAATGAATAAACATAACAACAAGAAAAGAAGAGAAACATATACAGAGAACAAAGTAGTGGCTACTAGTGGGGAGAGGGATGAGGGGAGGGGCAAGATAGCGATAGGGGAGTAAGAAATACAAACTAGGATGTATAAAATAAGCAAGATACAAGGATATACTATACAGCACAGGGAATATAACCAATACGTTATAATAATGTTAAATGGAATATGACCTATAAAAATATCAAATCACTATGTTGAACACTTGAAACTAATAAAACATTATAAACCAACTGTATTTTACTAAAAAAAAATTTTAAAGGGTAATCCTTTTAAAACATGACCAAGAGATGGTCTCTTTGCTCAGAATCCTCCAATGGTTTTCCATCTCACTCAGAGTAAATGCCAAAGTGATTGTAGTGGCCTCCAAGACCTTACCTTTCTGGCCCAGATGCCTCTAACCTCATCTCCCACACCATCCCTCCCTCTCTGCTGTGTCACACTGGCCTTCTTTTCTTTGATTATGTCAGGCACACACATCTCAGGACCTTTGTATTTGCTGCTCCGTTTGTCTGGAATACTATGTAGCCACGTATTTTACACTTCTTTGCTGCCTTCAAATCTTTGCTCAAATGCCACATTCTCAGTGAGGTATTTTCTTACACCAAACCTTCCCTAACCTCCTTGACTCTTCTATACAGAATTTATTTGCTCCCTGAGTGCAAGGATTTGCATGCTTTACTCAGTGCTGTATAACCCAGTACTTAAAATAGTGCCGAGCATATTTTGGACAATACCTGTTGAATGAAGAATGAACGAACAAGATGTGTGTGCAAAAACAAACAGTAAGACAGACAGCTGCTGGGAGACGGAAGTCTTGTGAAGGGGCCACGGGGTCAAGGGGCAACCAGGACCACACTGCCTGGAGCGGCAGGCAGGAGCGAAAATGCCTGCCTAATTGAATTCAATGAAATTTTTTAGAAAAAGCAGCAAGACACTCTTATAAGATGACAAAGAATTAGGGAAAATATGGAGGATTTATCTATTAAAAATGGAATTTTTTATTATTTTAAAGTTATAATGGAAAACCACAATGGAGATTATTTATTTTTAAACTGTGGTGACTGACTTAAGATGGTGAAGTGTAGTTTACACCTGAAAAAGGATAAAGTGAAAAAAATACAGAACCATGACTTCTAGAAACACACCGAGGACAAACAGCCGGGCTCAATTACTCTACAGATTCATCAAGTCTAAGCTTCGTCATGCCTCAGTGCCACACTCACATCCTTTTATTCGTTCCCAGCTCACCTCCTATCACATTCACCAGAGAAGCTGCTTCAAAACTTGCCATGCTCTTCAAGACCCCCAACCCTCCCACGCTCCCTCACTCTCAATAACTGATCTCTCCATTTAATTTACGGAGAAAATTAAGGCCATTCTATCTCAACTCCCTCAATGACCCTCTCCATTTCAATTTATCTTGTACCTCAGCACACATTCTTTCCATTATAACAAAGGGAAGACTCTCTACTTGCTTCGTTATTCTTTAGACAAGAGTTAGTATGATATAAGATTTGGGTTTGCTATAATTACTTAAATTTCCTTTAAAGTTAAAAACTTTAACGTTAAAACTCACTTCAAAAAGTGCTCTGAAGAACTGCTATATACATGCAAATTATGCAAATATTGTAGAGAATAAGCAGTAATACTCCGATTAACCTATTCAATTAATAGACAATGTTAATTGCATAGTTTAAAATATTCTTAGAAAAGGAAATTCCAGACTGGTCTTTCCAGAAACATTAAGTTCATTAGCTAGCTTTATTTTTGGAATTGAATTGTTAAGCAGGAGAAAGAAGTCCCCAGCAGAGACCTTAAGCATATCTAACATATAAGTTACAAATATGGTTCTTTATTATTCAGCATTAAAGATGTTATATCACAATTTTTGCAAATAATTTATAAGGTATTTTAATACCAGCCTGAGCCAGTTCCACATTGAAGGCTCTCAGTGCAAAAGCAGAGCTTCTGGATTCGGCAGGGAGTAACAGCGAACATAAATAGCCTTCATAATCTCGCTTCCTGTAACAAATAAGCAGAAAAAGGTAATTACTTTTCACTTTCTGAGTGGCACAGAAAAAATACTGACCAAAATGAACTGGAAACAAGGCTTCAATTCAAAATGGGCCTTAAGTTTCCTATATTTTATATCTGTTTCTCTACAATTACAAAAAAAAATGTATCTGCCTCCAATTTCACAGCAGTTACAATAATCAATCTCTATTAATTTATTTTGACATATAATATATATTATTTTAACTATTTCCGAATCACTTTGGTTTTAGTAATNTGGAAAAGACCCTGATGCTGGGAGGGATTGGGCTCAGGAGGAGAAGGGGACGACAGAGGATGAGATGGTTGGATGGCATCACCGACTCGATGGACATGAGCTTGAGTAAACTCCGGGAGTTGGTGATAGACAGGGAGGCATGGCGTGGTGCGATTCATGAGGTCGCAAAGAGTCGGACATAACTGAGCGACTGAACTGAACTGAATATCAAGATAACCACTGATTCAGGCAGTATCAGTGTCTGAAAATGTTAAACAAGTGAAAGTTTGACAGGAAAAGGATATTTACATAGTATTAAAGTATCTCCTCACCAAATAAATATTATTTACTAACTTTTTATTAATTAAATTTAAAAGAAACCTTGAAAGACACCCTTTCAACCAAGGAACAGAAAGTTCACCCCACAGTAATAGGATAAATCAACATACTGTGCTTCCTGATAGGATACTGAGAAAACCCAGTGTGAGTTCTGTAATATTCTTGCAAAAATCGTATAAATCCAATTCATTTATTGACAGAGCCCGGCTGATTCTAAAAAAAATCAAGTTCATGAAAGATGAGAAGCTGTTTCAGACTGGAGAAGACTAAAGACATTTGACAACTAAATGTAGCACATAATCCTGGATACATGAAAGACGTAACAGAATAACTAGCAGAAGTTGAACAGAGTCTGGATTAGATGGCAATATTGGATCAATTTTAATATCTTGATTTTGATGGCTGTACTATGATAATATGGGGGAGAATCCTTGTGTATTAAGAAACACACACCAGTAAATAATAAGGGAGGTAACGGGTCATCTACATCTTATTCTCAGTGGTTCAGAACGTCAATAAGGAGGAAATCGCCATGATGAGTGTAGTGGAGGTCTGTGCGCTATCTCTGTAATTTTTATGTGAATTTGAAATTACTTTAAACTGAAAAGTTAAAAAAATATAGACCTTACTATATTCATTCTAGGACGATGTAGGTATAAAGTACTTACTAGACTGCCTACTGACAAAGCTACTTTCATTGTAATATGCTGGAACCTTACTGTAACAGTATTTCCTATAAAAACAATACTCAATATTAAATGGGTCCAACGTCATTCCACGGAGTTTATTTGCTGTGTGGCTAGCAGAGAACTTAAACTTCA